AAATTGTTACATTTTTTAAACAATATTTATGTCAGACTGAAGCCTTTACTCACATGACAAGATATATGCCTCATTCATTCAATTGTTGAATAGGAGTCGTATTGGATATGGCCGATATGCTTAGGTATTGGTACAGGAATGGATTGGAAAAACCTTGATTGATGCATCAGCAAATCCACTTTAACTGTATTACCACCAACTAAAGAGCTGCAGTGAGAAATTATAAAATATTTTCATTATTTAATTTTGAAATCTAGGGCAGGATTAGTCGCGGCTTTGCACATGCACATTTTATTTGCAATCTGGATTCGAAGTGGAAAGGTTTACTCTCTCTGTTACAGCACAGGCGATCAGCTCTGCATGACGACAGTGGACAGAGAGAGAGAGGGGCAGTTTAAGATGCAGTCGCTCGGGAGGACAGAATTCTGTCCTTTTATTCCGCAAAAGTCTCAATTGAGACAAAGAAAAAGTTGCCATATTAGGCGCTTTTATGAAATAAAAGTGCTAGAGGGGTCTGGAAAGTTGCTAAATTTTGTGATTAAAGCGCTAAATTGACAAAATTGGGAACCATTAGGAGTCAGTGTGTGTGTGCATGGTTGTGTGGCCTGTGTTTCTCTGTCACGGACTTTCAACTGTTCAGGGTGTACCCCATCATCCACTGCTTGTAATGGTCACAGTTGCATGGGGCAAATAAATCGTATAGTGTATAAATTTTTTTAACAGAATTGTGATGCTTCCTCCAAAAGAAAGAAAATCCAAAATGAAGGCCAGCAGACTTCTAGATTACAATAATGCCTTGCAAAAGTATTTGACTCTGTTAAACTTTTTTGCTACATTTCAGGCTCCAAACAAAGATATATAAAACTGTATTTTCAACTTTCATCCAAGGTCGAAATGTTCAAGGGGGCCGGATACTTTGGCAAGGCACTGTACATTGTATGCTTGAGCTTATTTGGGAATTCTGAAATCTGCAATGATGAAAAGGAGAAAGTTGACTCCCTGTGTTTTACATGGGATCTCCCTCTGATCAGAAGTGACAATGGAATATAACTCTTTGAAAGGTTTCTGCATCATGCAGTAAGTCAATATTCATAAAACTATATAAAATCCCATTTTGACGATGTGCCTAATAATTAGCTTTCTCTTTTCTCCTTGGGTGATTGAATGGGTCATAAGGGAAATAAAGTAAATAAGAAAGGGGCTTAAAGACACTATTCTATAGACCTTGATTAGTGAACGTCCAGATGCTTGTAAAATTTCTATTATATATTACCAGTAATGGCAATAATATTGCCCTTTTAACATTGGCGGGCTGTGGGCTTACAAATAGCCTGAGCAAAATAAATAACATCAAAGAAGTGGTCTACCATGACTAAGAAGCTGATCCCAGATGGAAATGTGACCCTA